TTCCCTCAGCGCCTCTTCACAGCACTTGTGCTCTAGACCCTTCACCACACTCACTGCCCTTCTCTGCATGCGCTCAGCACCTCAATGTTTCCTGGCACGGCGGCGCCCAAAACTGAACAGAGTGTTCGACGTACGGCCTCAGCATCACCAAGCACAGGCAGACAATCACTGCCTACACCTGCTGGACACACTGGCCCTGCTAACAGCCAGGACACCACTGGCCTTCTTGGCCACCTGGGCACACTGCTGGCTCATATTCAGACGGTTGCCGACCAACACCCCCAGGTCCTTTCCCGACAGGCAGCTTCCCAGCCGCTCTGCCCCAAGCCCAGAGCATCGCAGGGGCTTGGTGTGACCCAAGTGCAGGACCCGGCACTCAGCCTTGTCGAACCTCATACAATTGGCCTCGGCCCATCGATGCAGCCTGTCCCGATCCCTCTGTAGAGCCTTCCTGCCCTCCAGCACATCAACACTCCCACCCCAATTGCTGTCGTCCACAAACTTACTGGGGGTGCACTCGATCCCCTCGCCCACATCATTGATAACCATGTTGGACAGAACTGGCCCCAATACGCAGCCCTGGAAAACAACACTTGTGACCGGCCACCAACTCGATTTAACTCCATTCACCACAACACTCTGGGCCCGGGCACACTGACAGTTGTTTACAAAAAAACCATGATGCCACTGCAAGCACTAAGCAGCCAGTTTCTCCAGGAGCATGATGGGGGAAACAGCATCAAGGGCTTTACTCAAGTCTAGCTTAAGCACATCCGAAGTCTCTCCTGTCCCACAAGAACATCCCAAGAGTCAAGCATGACCTGCCCTTCCCAAACCCATGTGGACTGGTCCTGATCGCCTGCTTGTGCTGTACGTGCCAAGGGAAGGCGCTCCAGATGATCTGCTCCATAACCTGCCCCTCCACCCAGGTCACACCCACACACCTCTACTTCCCCAAATCCTCCTTCCAGCCTTCCCTGCCCATGAGCATCGCGCTGGCTGATCTCCAGGCAACTGGGACCTCCCCGGTTAGCCGGGAGTGCTGAGAAATTCTGGAAAGGAGCTTGGCGAGCACTTCTGCAGCTCCCTCAGTAGGGTGGATCCCATTTGGACCCATTAGGCACTTTTCTGTGTCTCAGGGGTGTAGCGGGTAGCTAACCATGTCTGTTGGATTAGGAGGGATTCATTCTGCTCCCTGTTGACCAACCCCTTCCTCAGTCAGACTCTGCCCATCACAGCAAGCAGAATTACAGCAAACAGAATCACTGAGTGCACAAGGAACCTCGGCAGAGCCTCTATTGCAACCCAAACTACTCAAGCAGGCTCAGCTCGAGCAGACTGTCCATGATCATTTCCAGTGACAATTTCACTGTCTCCAGCAATGCAGACTCCAACACTCCATCTCTGCACAGCCGGTTCCACTGTTTGACCACCCTCACACTGAATAAGCCTTGCTTGTTTTCCTCAGGAAATGGCACGTCTTTTCAGGTGTCTCCATTCTGCCTTGCCCTGGCAGCAGACACCCATGACAACCAGCTCGTTTCCCTGTCTTCATGCATCTTCCATTTCAGATTCTGACACACTGATGAACTCTTCCCTCTGTGGCCTTGCCTTCCGGTTGAAAAACCTCCCAGCTCGCTCAGCTTCTCCTCACAGCAAGGGTGCTCCAGTCCCTTCAGCACTTTCATTGCCCTGCACTCGACTCATTCCACTAAGTCCATGTCCGTTATCCATGGGGGAGCCCTTAACTGGGCACAGGATTCCACACGAGGCCTCCCCAGCGCTGAGAAGAGAGCAGGATCACCTCCCTCAGCCTGCTGGCAAAGCTCTTCCCAACACCACCCTGGAGGCACTTGGACGCTTTGGCAGCAAGCTTGTACTGGGGTCTTGTAGGCAACGTGTTCTCCCCCACCAGCAACAAAGTTTGGCCACTGGGCACCAAGTGCCCAGCAAGACACTCTCGCACTCCCTCTCCTCAACTGCACGGGGGCAGAAAAAGAGCCTAAGAAACAAGCATCCAAAACAACGGTTGATGAATTTAACACAACCCACAATCCCTTACCTACCGTACCACTGGGAGGAAGCGGGAGCAAACAGATTCCAGGAAGAATGGGTGGATGGGGAAAGTGGTTTTAATCTGCCGGTGAATTTCTCAGTGCCTGACTCTACTTCAATTGCTAAGTAAGTGGTGGGGTTCAAATTAAATTGATGTTCTTTTCGTTCCCCAATGGATTCTGTCATTTGCCTGTGACCAAAACTGGTGAGACATCCCACCCTGTACTTGTCTCCCTGTCCGATCCCTTTATTTTCTTTTCTTCGATCCCTACCTGAGGGCAAAGGAATGAGCAGCTGGTTGTAAGACTCTCAGTTACCCACCGGGTTTGTAACATGATGCATCCTCTCACAGCTGCCACCCCCGCTACCCTGTCCGTACCAAAGAGTTGCCAAGAAAATCCAATATACACAGCTAAATCCTGACAAGAAAGACAGAGATACCAAGGCACACACAAAGCACATTCAACTCTAAAGCCAGGCCTACAGACAGGATTAGTGAGCTGGCATCAAGGCAGGGAGGGGCCAAACATGATGGGAGGGGCAGCCTCTCACACCCACAGCACATCCCAGGCCCAGACCAGCCTCTGAGGCCGGAGAAGTAATGGGGACCCATCCTCAGAATGCACCCGCAAACCACAGCACACCAGGGCACGGGATGACCTCACTGATGACAAACACCGCTCTGTGCTTTGCACACGTCTGCTAAATGCCCTGACACGCACCGTCCATCAAAATACTC